AAGGCAGGACAATCCAGAGGACAAAGCCAGAGCCTGTGTTGATTAGCTTCGCAGAAGTCCGGGCCGGATGATCAAAGATCTAAAAAGGTGCCAAAGGGAAATCTAGGTTGGTGTTAGAAAGCAGTTCCAGAGTCGTCAACAGGCAGAATCCATCATGAGTCCGAATACAGGTCAGACAAACAAATCAGAATAGCAAAAGGCAGAATAAGAGGTCCAAAGACAGAACAGGCCAGGATCAGGCAATCAGAACATGACTTGCAAGAAGACTATCACGAAAGGCTTGAATAATCTAGCGCTGATGATGACAGATGAATGGTGGTGAGAAACTGGGCGGAGCAAGGCAGGTGAATGGAATGAACAATCAAGCCAGTCATCAGCACCAAGATCATGACAGGTTTAACACGGGACACATGAAAAGTAGGATGGACTTTCATGGAATGAGGGAGCTAGGGGTAAACAGACACCAGATTTACCACTTTAGTAGTGGGAAACGGCCTGATAAAATGAGGTTGCAGCTTCCAAAGGCAGGTATTTGGTGTAGAGCCCAGACTTCTGGACTTCCCGGCAATGAGTTGCAAGAGTACTCTGGCATTTAGCAGCCTCGGCTTGACTATCCAACTTACTGCAAACAGCTCTCCTAGCCCTTCTCCAGGCTCAGTGGCACCTAAGAGCAGATAACCAGGCCAACAGAACTTCAGAAACCTTTTTCTGTATGGTAAACACCGGAGGATGAAGCCCAAACAGAGACTGACTCAAACGCTCTGGACCAAGCATCACGTTTAATATCCCTGGTTTGTAAGACAATGAAAAGTTTAAATGCCCAAAAAAGTGCCAACCTTGCCTGTCTGGGGTTAAGTCGCTTAGCCAACTTCTGGTATTCAAAGTCCAAAACACAGAAAAAATCTTGGACCCCTCCAACCACTGTCTCCATACCTCCAGAACCAGCTTTATCGCCGTAGCTCCTGATGCCCCACATCATAGTTCCACTCTGGGCTTGAAAGTCCCTTGGAGAAGAAGGCACAAGGGTGAATCTTAATGTCCCTTGCTTCTTGGCTGAGGACCACTCCAACTCCAGTACTGGAGGCATTCACCTCCACAATAAATTGTCTTTTCGATTGTGGGAAACCAAAACAGGTGCAAAAGGAAACAAAGTTTTGAGTCTCTGAAAGGCTCCATCAGCATGTTCATTCCAAAAGAAATTAATCTTATCTGAAATGAAGGCACGAAGGGGTGCAGCTATCTGACTGTAGTTTCTGTTTAACTTTCTGTAGAAATTAGCAAACCACTAGAACCTCTGCAGTTGCTTTCTATCTTTAGGAACAGGCTAGTTGGTATTGGTGCTCACATATGGTCCATGGCAATCTGATCAGGGGAAACCACAAAACCCAGGAATGACATAGTATCAACATGAAATTGATATTTCTCAGCTTTAACAATGAGCTGATTCTGCTAGAGGTGCAATAGAAAAGCTCTGACGTGCTTCTTATGGGAATCCAAATCGTGAGAGTAAATAAGAATGTAATCCAGATTAAAAAAAACACAATGTACCACAATATCCCTGAGTACCTCATTTACTAAAACAGCTGCGGTGTTACTGAGGCTGAAAGGCATGACCAAATATTCGTAACAACCTGTTGGAGTGTTGAATGATGTCTTTCACTCATCGCCCTCGCGAATACGTACCAAATAGTACACATTGTAGATCAACTGGTTCACAATGGCCATCCAAGGCTATTACCTTGTGGGAATCCAGTGATGGAAGAAGCCTTATACCCAGTGGTCTGGCAAAGTCCCCATCCATAAATTCAGTATCAGTACCAGAGTCCATGAATGCAGACAGGTTATGACTGCAGGAATTAACTGACAAAGTTACAGGAAGCAGAAGATCAAAGGACACAAAAAGTTTGGTGTGGTTAAGTAGGATATATTCTGTATATTCCAGTACAGATCCATCTCCCTGTATAAGTGACAGAAGTCCTCTAGAAGCCTCCCTTCTGGGAAAAACAGGGCAGAACTAGAACTTAAATGAACTAGAATTATTTTGCTATTCAGATGTTCCTTACAACCTTGCTTTATTGGCTAAGCCCGACATTGATCAGAGTCAGCCTTAAACAGTTCAGGGGAAACAGACAATTTTGACAATCTGATCTGACAACAGGTGACATAGACGCTGATGCTGTCGTGTGGAAGCAGTGGTGTCCTGATTACGCAAATGTGTTCCTGTATGTCTGATTCGAGTTGAGATATACATTCTTCTACGTCCAAACGCTACTTTCTTCCAATGGCCAGATTATTCTGTCAATCAATCAAGCCAGTCATCAGCACTAAGATCATAACAGACAGAGTGAAGGAATGGGAAAATAACTGTTTGTTTTGCTAAAATATTCAGAAAAACTACAACATTTTCTCAGAGATTTA